GATAGAAGTTGTAGTAAGCCGAGATCATGCCATTACACCCCAGCCTGGACAATAGAGCAAAACTCTGTCTCAGAAAAAAAAAAAAAAGAAAGAAAAAAGAAGCCCAAAGAGAACTGAAGAAGTCCAGACTAAATCCTTACATTTTTCTGTAGAAAATGCTGGGGCTTCCTCCTCTGCTCCAGCAAGAACTTAAAGCAGGCAGAGGCAGCAGTGATTCCTGCCTCTCAGCAGGTATCTTTTGAAGAGTTTCATTCTTCAGAGCCTGAGCATTCTGTCTAAATGGTAAGCTGATTTCCTAAAATGAGCTGAAATGTCTGAGAATGAAAGTTATTCCAGGGGGATTATTATAGCCAAATGAATCATTTCAGATTCTGAAAGGAAGATCAGACATGTGAAAACAAATATTCACAGAGATCAAAGTACAGATTAAACAAGCACAAGACACATTGGCCACCTCTGTCTGTGGTGTCTCTCAAGCAGGTCTAGTTCTAGGCACACCCAATATAGGCTCAGAAAGCTTTCCTTAAGTACACTAGAAACAGAGGGGACTCAGGGGTCTCAGCATTGCTAGTGTCTGAGCGGCCAAAATACCTAGATTTCGTTTGTTTCTCCTTGTCTAAAACATACCTTTTTAGAATCCATAGCTGGCTGTTTCCAGGCTTCCATGGTGGAGAAACAAGTCATCCTCAGCCAGAAGAAAGGAATAAAAACATGAAACTGAGGAATCTGCTGGCCTCAGCTAGGAAAACTGCCAATTTTACCCATTTTAGTGACCTGGCCAGGCACAGTGGCTCAGGCCTGTAATCCCAGCACTTTGGGAGGCCGAGGCAGGTGGATCACCTGAGGTCAGGAGTTCGAGACCAGCCTGGTCAACAGGCTGACTCTACTAAAAATACAAAAATTAGCTGGGTGGCAGTTGCCTGTAATTCCAGCTACTTGGGAAGCTAAGACAGGAGAATTGATTGACCCTGGGAGGTAGAGGTTGCAGTGAGCCTGAGATTGTGCCATTGCACTTCAGCCTGGGTGACAAGAGTGAAACTCTGTTTCAAAAGAAAAGAAAGAAAGAAAATGAGTGATCTACATAAAAATCCTTTTTTTAAAAATCTCAACAATGTGCATTCAGCCACTCAACCAGGAATTGAGTAACCTTAACTATCCTTGGCTCTGCCACTGGCTAACTAGGTAACCTTAGACAAGTCTCTTTCCCTCCCTGGGCCAGCTAACACATTTGTAAGACCAAAATAATTTATCTCCAAGGTTATGTATTGATAGAGCCAGGATTAGAACCCATCTATTCTGATTCCCAATCCACTGATATTCCTTCTTCTCTCCTGCTTATCCCTTGCGATTCCATGGCACTACTAGGAATAATTTAACCCCAACTAGGGTATTCAAAATTGAAAGTATGCTGAGGAAATGAAGCACCAATGTAACACAATGGATACAACATTATGCTAAATGAAGTCAGACACAAAAGAATACATACTGTATATTTCATTAATATGTAGTACTAGATAGGCAAAACTAATCTATGGGAGTAGAAAGGAGGTTGGTGGTTACCTCTTGGGGAAAATGTGAAAGATGGCCAGGTGCAGTGGCTCACACCTGTAATCCCAGCACTTTGGGAGGCTGAGGTAGGCAGATCACAAGGTCAGGAGTTCGAGACCAGCCAGTTGGAGACCAGCCTGGCCAACATGGTTAAAACCCTGTATCTACTAAAAATACAAAAATTAGCCGGGCATGGTGGCACCTGTAATCTCAGCTACTTGGAAGGCTGAGGCAGGAGAATTGCTTAAACCCAGAGACAGAGGTTGCAGTTAGCCAAGATTTGCACCACTGCACTCCAGCCTGGGCGATAGAGCAAGACTCCATCTCTGGGGGTGGGGGAGGGGGAAAAAGATTATGAGGGAAGTTTTTGGGGTGATGGACATGTTCTTTACCTTGATAGAAGTATGGATTTCATGGATAGGTAGACATAGTTTCAAAATTGATCAAATATACCCTCAAGATCTGTGTGCCACTGTATATAAATTATACCTCAATGAAAAAAATCTTAAAAATGTATGCCGAAGCTTTAGAAGGGAAGGAAATATAACATTTACTGATCATTACTAGCTAATTATATACATTATCTCCATCTCAAATCCCTAAAAAGGGATTATCCCCATTCTTCAGATCAGAAATCTGAGGTTCATTGAGGCTAGAATAACTCAGCTTGAAAACTAATAAATGTAGAAGTCAGGCACAACCCAGGTTTGTTTGCCTCTTTTCCTTTAAAAGGTTGTCTCAGGGAGGGAAGGGAAAGTATTTTCAACCTGGAGCCAGAAGACTTGTGTTCCATTTGGTTTTACTGCCATGTGATCCTAAGAACATCCATTTCCTTCTGAGCCTCCCTCTAGGCGAGTCAAAGCTCATAACTGTTTTGTAACCTTGAGGTTCTGGCAATCAGAATATCTCCAGTCCCTCTAATTTCCATTTATCTCAGGGCAAACTAATCATGAGGAACAAAAGCTCTCTGACTCCAGTGAGAGGATAAATCATCAACTAGGTCAGTGACACAAGAGCTCCAAGGTGACAAATCCAGCTGCCTCCTGTCAGAAGCCTGACTCATTCCTGAGTAATGTGCCAGAAAGAGGTGGAGTAGCAATCAAGAGATTTGAATCCTGCTGCCCCTCTGCCAATGACATACCCCATGACCTTGGGCAAAGGATTGCCCTCTGTGGACCCCTAACCTGTACTAGCTAAAAGAAACAATTAGGTTGGCTGAATTCTAAAGTCCTTAAGCTCCAGTATCTTGTCCATTTATGAAATTCTGATTCCTGCTTCCACATATTGATAACAACTGAGCAACTGGAAAAGACTGCTATTTTTTACAGGTTTCCAAATGGAAAACATGTGACATGCCCACTGCCCATATGATATAGAGGCAATACACATGCAGCTACCCAGCTCTGCCATTGTAGCATTAAAGCAACCAGAGACAGTATGTGAGTAAGCAAAGCTCTTACCCAATAAAGCTTTATTTTAAAAAACAGGGGGTGGTTTTGGAACTAGATAGAGCTGGTGATTGCACAACTTTGTGAATGTACTAAATAAATGATACTGAATTGCTCATTTAAAAATGTTTAATTTTGTAAATATGAATTTCAGCTTGATATATTACGTTAAAAAAAAACACAAACAGGGAGTGGGTAGGATTTGGTTCATGGGCAATAGTTTGCTGACACCTGACCAAGATAAACTTAGAATTATTTGCTTAACCTCAGTCCAGGCAAACTTAATTAGCAGTTATGTAACATCTACCTGAATAAGTCACTCATTACCCCACAAAGCAATTTATTTCACTTATGGGCAGAATCTGTTTCTATCTGGAGAGTTTGTTCCTGTAGAAAGCCAAAATCTCCCTCTCTCCAACTTCCACCTGTGGAGAATTCACTTATGTTATGATCCTCTGCTTCACTACAGGACACCATGCCAGATTGCTTTAAAGGTTGAATTCACCCTAGCTGGAGAAATATGGAAGGGGAACATGCTTCTGAGCTAAAGCATCAGGCAAAGAGAAAATAGAATCATTTTTTTTTTTTTTGAGACAGTCTAGCTCTGTTTCCAGGCACCAGGCTGGAGTGCAGTGGTGCAATCTCAGCTCACTACAACCTCTGCCTCCCAGGTTCAAGCAATTCTCCTGCCTCAGCCTCCTGAGTAGCTGGGACTACAGGTGCACACCGCCACGCTCAGATAATTTTTTTTTTTTTTTTTTTTGAGACGGAGTTTTGCTCTTGTTACCCAGGCTGGAGTGCAATGGCGCGATCTTGGCTCACTGCAACCTCCGCCCCCTGGGTTCAGGCAATTCTCCTGCCTCAGCCTCCTGAGTAGCTGGGATTACAGGCACGCACCACCGTGCCCAGCTAATTTTTTGTAATTTTTAGTAGAGATGGGGTTTCACCATGTTGACCAAGATGGTCTCGATCTGTTGACCTCGTGATCCACCCGCCTCGGCCTCCCAAAGTGCTGGGATTACAGGCTTGAGCCACCGCGCCCGGCCTTCAGCTAATTTTTATATTTTTTAGTAGAGACAGGGTTTCACTATGTTGGCCAGGATGGTCTTGATCTCCTGACCTCCTGATCCTCCCGCCTCAGCCTCCCAAAGTGCTGGGATCACAGGTGTGAGACCTGTGCCCAGCCAAATCTCTCTTTTTTTTTTTTTTTTCTTTTTAGGAGAAAGGGTCTTGCTCTGTCACCCAGGCTGGAGTGCAATGGCACAATCATAGCTCCTGCAGTCTCAAACTCCTGGGCTCAAGCAATCCTCCCACCTCAGCTTCCCAAGTACTGGTACTACAACTGCACACCACCATGCCTAATTTAAAAAAACATTTTTGGTAAAGACAAGGTCTCCCTATGTTGCTAGGCTGGTCTCAAGCTCCTGGTCTCAAGCAATCCTCCTGCCTTGGCCTCGCAAAGTGCTGGGATTCCAAGGATGCACCATAGTGCCTGGCCAAAATATAGAACCTCTTTTTGTTTTGAGACAGAGTCTGTCACCAGGCTGGAATGCAGTGGCATGATCTTGGCTCACTGCAACCTCTGCCTCCTAGGATCAAGCAATTCTCCTGCCTCAGACTCCCAAGTAGCTGGGACTACAGGCGTGCACCACCACACCCAGCTAATTTTTTTTGTGTGTGTGTTTTTAATTTTTTTAAGACGGGGTTTCACCATGTTGGTCAGACAGGTCTTGGACTCCTGCCTTCAGGTGATCCGCCTGCCTTGGCCTCCAAAGTGCTTGGATTACAGGCGTGAGCCATTATGCCCGGCCTTTTGTATGTTGTATGTTTAATAGAGATGGGGTTTCATCATGTTGGCCATGATGGTCTCGATCTCTTGACCTCGTGATCTACCCACCTTGGTCTCCCAAAGTGCTGGGATTACAGGCATGAGACACCGTGCCCAGCCAGAATCTCTTAAAGATACTCCACAGGATGAGCCAATTTCTCTAACACACATACATATACACATCAGCAGCAGATTTTTATTAGATGGAGGATAACAAGGGTTAGCTCATAGGTAAGTGGTAACAAATGGCAAGTACAGCCATGCCACAGAGGAGTGTGGGCATTACTGGCTATGGGAATGGGTACTTATGAATCTAAAGGTCAAGTCTCCTGATGAACTCTGACCACCCAGTAAGCTCTTCTCCTTGGCACTCAATATGACCAGTGCTGGCATGAAAGGGTCTACAGTAGCTAGTTCAACTTAGCCAACAGTTCTTCCAGTTCTGGTCGAGCTTTGAATCTTCCCTTGAAGTCTTCTTCAGTGTGCTAAGGAGAAGAAAAAAAAAAATAAGTGGAAATGACTGCAGAGCTTTTAGTTACCCAAATATGCACAGTATCCAAAAAGGGCCCATAATTTATTATCGACTATGTAGCAGATTTATATTAGATATTAGGGATTCAAACTTCAATCAGATTTCCTCCTTGCTTTCAGTGAACCTACAGTCTGGTTAGAAAAGAAAGATATATGAAGATTTAATGTCAAAATGCTATAACTATCACAACAGAAGCATTTAAGAGAGACAGAATACCAAAATTATTTATTTACATGGGAAATAAACAGGGATTGGACTATTTTAAGTCAGCATGATCAGCACATGCTGTCCCTGTACCCAGATCTATGTGAAGACCAAATAACAACCAGAAGCTTGACAAGCATGGACTCAGAACAAGCAGAGCTGGATGGAGCAAATGGTACCAATCTAAGATGACCTGATACATCTGTGTCAGAAGAAGGATCATCTTGGCAACTGGACCCAAATACTCAGTATTTAGGCTAAGGTTCCTAATGTTCTCCACGTTTTCCATGCCTGACCAAGCATCCTATTGACTAGCATTCTTTATGAAATATATTCAGTCAGGCTCCAGTCAAGCCTTGAAGGTCCAGGAAACTTTTCTCTAACATATATTTTCCTATTGGTGTTTTGCTTTATTACACTATATATTATCTTAAACCATGTTCTTTCTTCTACACAACTGCCTGAAAAAGGAGATAATTCTGGGGCCTCATAGGCTCACCACCAACATCAGGATGATGTGCTGAAAGTCAGCACTCATAGGCCACAAAGCATCATCCTTGATGCCTCAGAAGCTGGAATAATAATCACAGTGTCATCAGAGTGCACGTCTTTTCCGAGTATTATTTAGGCTACATTACCCACATTTCTCTGTTCTTTCTAATTTTTGAGAAGCCAGGAGGTCCAGATGTTCTTATCCTTATTTTGAGCATATACAGGCCAGCAGGGGCCTCTTCTCAAATCAGCACCTACCTCCTTCACTAGCAATCTGACTCCTTCAGGAAGATTGCTTTGGATTATTTCCAAGAAAATCTCTGCAAATGTAGCACTCAAACCACTGATCTGCAAAATGAAAGAAGGTGTACTGAGTGGTGGGAGGAGCTAAAAACAAGGCAATTAGGCAGACATGGCATGGGTTCAAATGCCAGCTCCAGTAGAGTCTGGAGAGCCCAAGGGTGGAAGATTAACACCAAAACTGGTTTCTGAACCTGGCCTCTACAGGATTTCTCCTGCTATCTGCCAAGCTGCTGAGATGGTCAGTGCCAATATCTGCTCCCATGGGTATTAGATGTCATTACTGGACCAAGAGGTTTTAAAGTCCAGGGTCTTGGCCAGGTCATAGTGGCTCACACCTGTAATCCCAGCACTTTGGGAGGCTGAGGCAGTTGGATCATTTGAGGTCGGGAGTTTGAGACCATGACCGACATGGAGAAATGCCATCTCTACTAAAAATACAAAATTAGTTGGGTGTGGTAGCACATATCTATAATCCCAACTACTCGGGAAGGCTGAGGTAGGAGAATCACTTGAACCTAGGAGGCGAAGGTTGCGGTAAGCCAAGATCACGTCATTGCACTCCAGCCTGGGCAACAAGAGCAAAACTCCATCTCATAAATAAATAAATAAGGAATAAAGCCTGGTGCGGTGGCTCACACCTGTAATCCCAGCACTTTGGGAGGCTGAGGAGGGTGGATCACCTGAGGTCAGGAGTTCAAGACCAGCGTGGCCAACATGGTGAAACCCCCTCTCTACTAAAAACACAAAAAATCAGCTGGGTGTGGTGGCGGGCACCTGTAATCCCAGCTACACAGGAGGCTGAGGCAGGAGAATTGCTTGAACCCAAGAGGCAGGGGTTGCAGTGAGCCGAGATCGTGCCACTGCACTCCAGCCTGGGTGACAGAGTGAGACTCAGTCTCAAAAAAAAAAGAAAGACCAGGGTCTCTTTCTGTTGCCCAGGCTGGAGTGCAGCGGAGCAATCATAGCTCACTGCAACCTGGAACTCCTGGGTTCAAGAATCCTTCCTCCTCAGCCTCCAGAGTAGCTGGGACTATAGGCACGTGCCACTAGGCCCAACTAATTTTTTATTTTTATTTTTTGGGAGAAACAGTGTCTTGCTATGTTGCCCAGACTGGTCAAATTCCTAGATTGAAGCAATCCTCCCACTTTGGCCTCTAAAAGTGCTAGGTTTACAGGCATGAAACATGTCACTCAGCTCAGGCTGACTTTCTTTTTTGTTTTGAGATGAAGTCTTGCTCTGTTGCCCTGGCTGGAGTGCAGTGGTGCTATCTTGGCTCTCACTGTAACCTCCACCTCCCAGGTCAAGCAATTCTCCTGCCTCTGCCTCCCAAGAAGCTGGAATGACAGGTACCTGCCACCATGCCTGGCTAATTTTTGTATTTTTAGTAGAGACATGGTTTTACCATGTTGGCCAGGCTGGTTTCGAACTCCTCACCTCACATGATCCACCTTCCTTGTTCTCCTAAAACGCTGGGATTACAGATGTGAATCACTATACCTGGGCACACTGACTTTCTGATTCTCAGCTTTGCCCATATCCAGGCACATCAGGGTCTGACTGGTGTCAGACCCTGTGCTAAGAACACAGAGGTGAATCAGATGTACGGTAAAAGGGCAGGCAGGGGGCTGCAAGGACCCACAAGAGAAATTCCTACCCAACTCAACCAAGGAAAGTCAAAAAAAGCTTCCAGAAGAGGTAGTATCTGGGTGAAATCTTGAAGAAAAATAGGAGTAAACTAGGAGAATTCAATAGTAACGTGGAGGATCTTGAAGGGAGAGGAAACAGCATTCAGTAAAATGTGGGGGCATAACAGTGTTAGGAAATTCAAACTAGCTCCTTGTGTGGCTGGAGTAAATGGGCTGTGAAGAGGAAAAGCAGGAGGAGAATCATGAAGGCAGCTGAGTACCAACCTAAAGCGTTCAAACTATTCTATGGGCTTCTAACATGTCAGATCTGTCACAGAATATATTATAAATAATCTATTTCTGATTATATGTTAAAAGCCAAAGATTATACCTAATTTTTTCTAAAATTAGCATACTTAGACTTAAATTTAACATTCATTCTGTAACCTTGCTGATATGTTCCTTGAGTGGATCAAAAAGGGGTGATGCCCATACAGTGGGATATTATTTGGCAATAAAAGGAATGAAGTACCAATGCATGTTACAACAGAGATGAACCTTGACAACATTATGCTAAGTGAAGGAAGCCTGACACAAAAGGTCATTTGATGTACAATTCCATTTAAATGAAGAGATAAATCCATAGAGATAGAAAGTAGATTAGTGGCTGCAAGCGGTTGGGGTGATCAGGAAAGAGGAGTGACTGCTAATGGGTACACGGTTTCTTTGTTTTTCAATTGAGACAGTTTCGCTCTTGTTACCCAGGCTGGAGTGCAATGGCGCGATCTCGGCTCACCGCAACCTCCACCTCCTGGGTTCAGGCAATTCTCCTGCCTCAGCTTCCTGAATAGCTGGGATTACAGGCACGCGCCACCGTGCCCAGCTAATTTTTTGTATTTTTAGTAGAGACGGGGTTTCACCATGTTGACCAGGATGGTCTCGATCTCTTGACCTCATGATCCACCCGCCTTGGCCTCCCAAAGTGCTGAGATTACAGGCTTGAGCCACTGCACCTGGCCAGTACACTGTTTCTTTTAGGGTCATGAAAATGTTCTGAAATTGATGGTGATGATGGTTGCATAACTCTCTGAATATGCTAAAAACCATCTTTATTGTATACTTCAAATTGGTAAATTGAATGTGTCCATTACATGTCAATTAATGCTCTTATTAAAAGGGGGATGATGTTAAAACTGGGGAAGCTGTGAATTTTTAATACCTCTGGGCACCCTCATGGTGGTGTGGTTGGTACTCGTCTTTATCTGCAGGAAGAAAAGAGGACAACTGCTAGAGATCAAAGGAAGCCAGTCACTGAGGGGTTTCAAGCAGGAAAATGATAGGATAACTTGGTATGGGGGTAAAGGGAAGTGGATGAATCTGAAAGATTTTTAGGAGGTAGAAGCTACAGAATATGGTGAATGAATACATATCAGAGGACAAAGAAAGGTGACACATTAGGCTCAAAGGTGGAGAAGATTACAGAAAATGAGTCCCTCTATAACTAATTTTGCATAGACGGAGTGCAGGGAGAACACCTGTGGAACATCCAAGTAGAGAAGGCCAATAGACAACCAAGTATCAAGCTTCAAACCTCAGCCAACAGATCAGGACTACAGATGTATACATCTGGGCATCATCAGTATTAAATGATGGTCACTGAGACCTGAGGAACGAATGAGACTGCATGGGGGAAGGTATTATAAAAGGAGAGATTGTGTCAAGAACTGAACTCTGGAGAACACCATCATTCAAGGGCAGGCAGGAGGAATAAAAGAGCATGACAGAAGGGGAAACAGTGGACAGAGACAAGAACCAGGAGAAGCAAATACATTTTTGATTCTCCTGGAGTGCCTACCTGAACCACTCGCTCATGGATGGTAAGCACTGAGTCCAGGAACATTTTGCTGCCTTGGTCCTGCAACTGCAACACTTCTAAGGTTTTGGTTGGTATCGCATAACTGTGGGAAGGAAGAGTCAGCTAATGTGAGTGTTCACTGAAGCTACCAACAACTTCAATCATGGTAGTCCATGAGTATAGCCACTACTGCAGGCACTAGTTCCTGGAATGTAGGGGATGCTTATCTGCAACCAGAAGCAAAGTAACTGGATCCCCCTTATCTCCTTCAAAAGTCTCTAAACTCACTAAGCAAATACACAATGTTTAATGCAGTTCTGCATCTCTAATCATACTTAATACAACACTCTGAATAAAACCTGGTGATTAATAAATAATTTGTTACTACTGAAGAATAGCCCATTCTAAAAGAATCAAGTGGCCAGGTATGGTGGTGCACACCTGTAATCCCAGGAATTTGGGAGGCCAGGGCAGCCAGATCACTTGAACTGGGGAATTCAAGACTAGCCTGAGCAAAGCAGTGAGACCTTGTCTCTACAAATATACAAAAATTAGCTGGGTGTGGTGGCACGCTCCTGTAGTCCCAGCTGCTCAGAAGGCTGAGATGGGCAGATCATTTGAGCACAGGAGGTCAAAGATGCAGTGAGCCAACATTGTGCCACTGCATTCTAGCCTGGACAACAGAGAGAGGCCTTGTCTTAAACAAAAAAACATAAAAAAGAAAAAAGAGGAAAAAAAAGAATCAAGCTCATTACTAGGTATGCTTTGGAGGTTAACCTTGGCTATTAAACCTGTTCTGGAGAAAGAATGTATACAAACTAAATGTTCTACAGCAGGATTTCTCAACGTCAGTGCTACAGACATTTTAGACCAGATAATTCTTTGCTGTAAGGACTGACCTACACATCCATATACATCCCTCTACCCACCGGATATCTGCACTATTCCCCAAGTGACGACAGTCAAAACTACCTCCAGATATTATTAATTTTCCCCTGCGGGGTGACTTCTCTCTCAGGTTGTAGAGTTTATGCTTACTAAAATCAGCTTCAGCCTTCTATATGTTGCAGTGAAAACAACATGGAACATGGAGTCAAGCGTTGGCCCTGCTACTTATTAGCAATATTTACTTAAGTAAGTCACTTCCCCCTCTGGGCCTCAGTTTCTCCATGTATAAATGGGATAACCATCTAGGCCTATATCAACAGAGAACTGCGAGGACAAGGTATGTTAATAAGACTGGACTAATGGCTACATGGAAATATGGTATTAGTGTTATGTTCATCTTATCAAAAAATTCATAAAACTGAAGATAAATGAAATAATAATGACAGTAGGATTCCTAAATTTTCATATGTCACAAAATCATCACTTAATAAGCAAGTGGCATGGCCCTCTATAGGTGGACCTCTACAAAAGAAGTTTAGAGGCTGGGCACAGTGGCTCATGCCTGTAATCCCAACACTTTGGGAGGCCGAGGCGGGTTGATTACCTGAGGTCAGGAGGTCAAGACCAGCCTGGCCAAAGTGGTGAAACCCTGTCTTTACTAAAAATACAAAAATTAGCCAGGTATGGTGGTGGGCGCCTGTCATCTCAGCACTCAGGAGGCCGAGGCAGAAGAATTGCTTGAACCCAGCAGGCAGAGGTTGCAGTGAGCCAAGATGCACCACTGCACTCCAGCCTGGGCGACAGAGAAAAAAAAAAAAAAAGTTTAGAGTAATAGCCCAGGCACAGTGGCTCACTCCTGTAATCTCAGCACTTTGGGAGGCCGAGGCAGGTGTTTAGAAGTAATAGAAAATGGATTAGAGACATGTCAGTCAGTCCTGGAGTTAAATATTGACTCTGCCACTTATTACCTATTTGAACATGGAAATTCAGGTTTCTGAATCTCCATTTCTTCTGCTATAAATTGAAAATAATAATACCTAATTCATAGAGTTATTGCAATGACTAAATGAGATCACATAAGTAATTGCCTGGCATACCCTAAATGTAGTCAGTAAACGCAAGGTATTACAAATTCTTTTAGGCAGTCTTTCTAAATAACACCCCTACTGCTTTTCAGCATAATCTCTGATCTCTTCTTCTTGAAATTCAAATATAGTAATAACTTTTCAATATAAAAAAATGGGGACATAATCACAGACTTCTTATGGATGACCAAGTGAAATAATTGCTTCAGAAAAGCAAAAAGCACCCTAAAAAACTATTTTTCTTTTTTGGCATTCTGCAGATGGGACTGACTGACTAAAGTGGGAATTGTCCATTCCTGCCACTAATCATGGGTTTTATTCTTTTTTTTTTGAGACGGAGTTTCGCTTGTTACCCAGGCTGGAGTGTAATGGCGCGATCTCGGCTCAACGCAACCTCCGCCTCCTGGGTTCAGGCAATTCTCTTGCCTCAGCCTCCTAAGTAGCTGGGATTACAGGCACATGCCACCATGCCCAGCTAATTTTTTGTATTTTTAGTACAGACGGGGTTTCACCATGTTGACCAGGATGGTCTCATGACCAGGACTATCTCTTGACCTTGTGATCCACCCACCTCAGCCTCCCCAAAGTGATAGGATTACAGGTGTGAGCCACCGCGCCCGGCCCGGGTTTTATTCTTTAATACTTACTTCAGCAAGATTTCATTGATTTGTTTACTTATTCACTCAACAAACATTTACTAACTCCCTGCTCGGTCTAGGCACCCTGATGGGCAGTAAGAAGTCTATGTGGCCAGGCGTGGTGGCTTCCACCTATAATGTGAGCACATTAGGAGGCCAAGACAGGAGGATTGCTTGAGTCCAGGAGTTCAAGACTAGCCTGGGCAACCTAGTGAGACCCTGTCTCTATTTACAAAAAAAAAAAAAAGTCAGCTGGGCATGATGGCTCATGTCTGTAATCCCAGCACTTTGGGAGCCTGAGGCAGATGGATCACCTGAGGTCAGGAGTTCAAGACCAGCCTGGCTAACATGGTAAAAACCTGTCTTTACTAAAAATATAAAAATTAGCTAGGTGTGGTAGTGAGTGCCTGTAGTCCCAGCTACTTGGGAGGCTGAGGCAGGAGAATCACTTGAACCTGGGAGGTGGAAGTTGCCGTGAGCTGAGATCATGCCACCTCACTCCAGCCTGGGTGACAGAGCAAGACTCAGTCTCAAAAAAGAGGTCTATGCTTTCAAGGAGCTCACTCTGAGTGTTTTAAAGAGCTAGGCAAGTATACGAACATTGTACTACAGTAAGACAAAGGCAATAATAGGGATGTGCCAAATACCATAGGGACAAGAGGGGGAGGAAAGGGAGGCTCAGGGAAGGCTTCATAGGAGGTAGTCATTTATCAAGAGGTAGAACAGGCCTTTGCGTATGTAAGAGTACATATGGGTTTTTTTGTTTTTGTTTTTGTTAGTATCTATACTATTCTGTATCTTCCAAATTTTCTGCAATAAACACTGCTATGATGATCAGACAGTAAAACGAAAAGAAAGAAATAAAAGAACTGAATTTTAGGAGCCAACCTAACATGACAAAATAATGCTAGTTGGGAGGAGTATTGCTGAGAAAGGGACACAAGGAAGTCTGCTGGGGTGTTGGGGAGCTTCACTTTATACGAGTTATACCTCAATTTTTTTCTTTTTTTGAGACAGAGTGTCGCTCTATCACCAGGTTGGAGCACAGTGGTGCAATCTCAGCTCACTGCAACCTTTACTTTCTGGGTCCAAGCGATTTTCCTGCCTCAGCCTCCCAAGTAGCTGGGACTACAGGCACACACCACCATGCCTGGTTAATTTTTGTGTTTTTTTTTGAGAGAAGGAAAGAAAAGAAAGGAGTGAAGGAGAGTAAGAAAGAGGAAGAAAAAGTGGGAGAGAGGACGGAAATGTTGCTTTATTCTAAAAAAAAAATGGGTATTAATAATGGCCAATCAATATTTCATTTAAACCTATGAGTAGGTGTGATGTGGTATTGACAAGAATGTATATTTTGTGTATTTAAAGTGGAGAGCTCTATAAATATTTATTAAGTTTACTTGTTCTGGATCTGAGTTCGAGTCCTTGATATCCTTATTAATTTTCTGTCTCATTGAATCTAAGTCTCTATGTATCTGGGTGTTAGAATCGTTAGCTCTTGTTGTTGCACTGATCCTTTTACCACTCTATCTTTGTTGCTTTAAAATCTATTTTATCAGACACGAGAATTGCAACTCCTGCTTTTTATTTATTTATTTATTTTTGCTCTCCATTTGGTTGGTAAATCTTTCTCCATCCCTTTGTTTTGAGTCTTTGTGTATCCTTGCATGTGAAATGGGTCTGGATGTGGCATACCGTTGGGTTTTGGCTGTATCTTTTGATTGGGGGATTCAGTCGATTGAAATTTAGGATTACTGCCATTTGATGTTAACTGGCTGTTTTATCCATTCATTGATGTAAATTCTTCTTTATGTGGATGCTCTTTACTTTTTGGTATATTTTTAGAAAGGCTAATACTGGTTGTTTCTTTCTATGTGTAATGCTTCTTTCAGAAGCTCTTGTAAAGCAGGCCTGGTGGTAATAGAATCTCTGAGTACTTGCTTGTTCATAAAAAATTTTATTTTTCCTTCAGTTGTGAAGCTTAGTTTGGCTGGATATGAAATTCTGGGCTGAAAGTTCTGTCCTTTGAGGATGTTGAATATTGGCCCCCACTCTCTTCTGGCTTGTAGAGTTTCTGCTGAGAGATCTGCTGTAAGTCTGATAGGCTTCCCTTTGTGGGTAATCTGACCTTTCTCTCTGGCTGCCCTTAGTATTTTCTCCTTCGTTTCAACCCTGGTGAATCTAACGATTATGTGCCTTGGGGTTGTTCTTCTTGAGGAATATCTTTGCGGTGTTCTCTGTATTACCTGGGGTTGAATATTTTCCTGCTTTGCTAGTTTAGGAAAATTTTCCTAAATAATATCCTGAAGAGTATTTTCCAGCTTGGATTCATTCTCTCCGTCGCATTCAGGTACACCTATCAAACGTAAATTTGGTCTTTTCACATAGTCCCACATTTCTTGGAGACTTTGCTCATTCCTTTTTATCCTTTTTTCTCTAATCTTGTCTTCTCATTTTATTTCATTAAGTTGGACTTCGACCTCTGATATCCTTTC